TCCGGGGTGCCCAGGTTTATGGATCTTGGGAAGTAGATAGAACAATCCTGGTCGGGGGTCAGAAGGTGATTCTGTGAGGATTTGTTCCCGAGTAGCTGTGGGGAGGCTTTTAAGGAGACAGTGTAGTTTCTTTTGGTAGTCCAAGGTGGGATCAGAGGGGAGAGGTTTGTAAAATGTGGTGTTCGAGAGTTGTCTGGTTGCCTCCTGGTTATAGTCGGCCTTATTCATAATGACCACAGCACCCCCTTTGTCAGCTGGTTTGATTACAATGTCCAGGTTGTTTTTGAGACTCTGGATGGCATGGTGTTCAGCGCGGCTAAGATTGTGTGTCGCTTGTTGTCGTTTGCGAATAATGTCAGTCTGTGCGTTGTTGCGGAAGCTGTGTATATAGAAATCCAGATTGTAATTCCGACCGTCAGGGGGAGTCCATATAGAATTATTTTTCCTTTGGTGTTGGTAGGGGGGATCTGGTAGGTCAGATTGATGTTCAGTTCAATAAGACAGAGAACAGGCCCGTACACAGGGGTGGGTGCAAAAGCACACTCCCCTAGTTCTCCAAGTAAGCATGCTCTGGCTTGCCAGGGGAAGGCAGGAGCAGCACGCTGCCTGAGCCTCCTTCCCCCAAGCTCTGGCTGGCCGGGAGAAGGATGGGGCTGATTTCCCTGCTTACTTGCAGGACCACAGAGGGTGCATTCACACCCTTATGGTCCACCTTTACAAAAAAAAGCACATCCCTCCCCCCAGAAATGCCTGTGTACTGAGCCTGGAGAATATCTTATTGCTGCTATATAAACCTATGGTACATTGATATCTTGAATACTAAGTGCAGATGTGGTTACCTTATCTCAAAAAAAGATACATTGGCATTGGAAAAAGTTCACAAAAGGGTAAGAAGAATTATTAGGGATTTGATACTGCTGCTATATGAGGAGAGATTAATAAAACTGGGATTTTTCAGCCTGGAAAAGAGATGACTGAGGGGAGATATAGGTCTATAAAATCATGACTGGTGTGGAGAAAGTGAATAAGGAAAAGTTATGTACCTGTTCCCATAACACAAGAACTAGGGGTCACCAAATGAAATTAATAGGTAGCAGGTTAAAAACAAAACAAAAAAAGGAAGTATTTCTTCACACAGTCAACCTGTGGAACTCTTTGCCAGAGGATGTTGTGAAGGCCAGGACTTTTAACAGGTTTAAAAAAAGAGCTAGATAAATTCACAGAGGATAGGTCTATCAATGGCTATTAGCCAGGATGCCCTAGAATCTGTTTGTCAGAAGCTGGGAACGGGCCAACAGGGGAGGTTCATTCCCTCTGGGCCACCTGGCTTTGGCCACTGTTGGCAGACAGGATACTGAGCTAGATGGATCTTTGGTCTGACCCAGTATGGCTGTTCCTATGTTCTTAACGCATATCCTGAGTGGATGTTCCAAGATTCTGCCACGAGTACAGGTCATTTCCTGATTGGCCCACGCCAGCTTTGCCCAGCAGAGTGACGTTGCTCAGCATGTCATGTCCTGAAGTAAAAAGGTCTGCAGGAAGGAGATAGGCACAACTTTTGCCTCCCCCCCAGTTATGAATTTCAGAAACTGGTTTCAGAGAACACAAAAAACAAGTATATTAACTACAGAAGATGGATTCAAGTTACTATAAGAGATAGCAAACAGATCCAAAGAGATTACCTGTCAAATAAAATAAACTCAAGCTAAATTTAATATGCTAAAGAAACTGGCTTTAAACATCAATTTCTCACCCTAAATGTTATTTTAGGAAGATTGCAGAGGTTCTTGATGGCAAATGGCTTTTGCCTGCAATTTACAACTTCACATGTTTCTTTCACAGGCAAGACTGCTTTCCAGCCTGGGCTCATCTCTTCTTTCCCACTCCCATCTTTGTTAGATTTTCACAGCAGTCTTCTTGGGCGGGGAGTCAATGAAGAATAAACACTGATTATGTCAATCCCCCGACTTAAGTACGTTTCACATATGGCCAGAATCCTTTGTCTTCCAGTGAGATTCCACCCCTCATCAATGGAAAAATGGTAATTTTACCATGAGAGGTTTCAGAGGGATAGCTGTGTTTGTCTGTTTCAGCAAAATCAAGGAGTCCGGTGGCATTTTAAAGACTAACACATTTATTAGGGCATTAAAGCATAAGCTTTCCTGAGACACAACTCACTTCCTCAGATGCTTGAAGAAAAAAGAAAAGAAAAAAAGAAAGAATACAGAGATGGGAGTGTGACATCAGTGCTAATTAAATCAGAGTGGATGTAGAATGTAGATCATCTCCAACAGTGACGAGAAAGGGAAAGTATCTGAAGGGGAAATTAGCTATTGTCATGTGAGAACCACTCCGTGTTTCTATTTAAACCTTTTTTCCGGGTGTCAAATTTGCATATGAATTCCAGTTCACAGTTTCTGACTTACAAGCTGCCATTCTTAGGCAAAACCCCCCCAAAATATAAAAAACAGACTGCAACAAGAAACTGCTGAGCTGGAATTCATATACAAATTTGACACACTGAAAAAGATTTAAATATGAATCACATTATACATTACAGTAGTCTCAGAGGGGTACCATGTTAGTCTGTAACTTTAAAAAAGAGTAGGCCTGTGGCACCTTAGAGACTAACACAAATATATAGTATCATGACTTTTCATCGGTAAAACCCACTTCATCAGATGAGCTGGAGTGGAAGTTACAGAAACCAAGTTATTTATAACAGCAAAAAAAAAAAAAAAAAAAAAGTACCCGTCAACTGTAGACCAGTGTTCATGAGGCTAATTGAGTGGGCTGGAAGTGTCCCATTCTTAGATGCTAAGGTAAAAATGCAATTGTTAAAGACAGAAGATGGCTTTATAATGTGGAATCCAGTTAATGTCTTTGTTCAAGCCCAGGGAAACAGTGTCAAATTTGTAGATGAATAACAATTCCATACTCTCTCTCTCTCTCTCTCTCTCTCTCTCTCTCATTGGCTCATGAAATTCCTTTGTATAAGAATGGCTACTTTTAAATCCATGAGTGAGTGATCAGGTAGGTTAAAATATTCCCCTACAGGTTCATGTGTGTTACCATTTCTCATGTCTGATTTGTGTCCATTTACCCTTTGTCGTAGAGACTGGCCAGTGTGGCAAATATACATAGCAGAGGGGCATTGCTGGCACTTGATGGCTTCAAGCATGCACACATGAAGTTAAAGAAACGATAAAGAAGGTGGGACTGTAAAGAAATGTAAAACCACGATAATTGGAGATAAGGATTTAAATATCAAAATCAACAATGAACAGCCAGAGAGGGTCGATTGATTCAAATATCCTGGAAACACAATAAGCCAAGATGGTACATGCTCTGAGGAAATACGTATAAGGATCAGCAAAGTGAACACATTCTTGAGCAAATTTATGCCCTAATACATTTGTTAGTCTTTGAAACCTGGCAACTTGTAAATGATACACAGTCAATATTCCTAACTTCAGATACCAAAGTGATACATGCATACAAACAGGATAATCATATCTAGTAAACTGTAACCTTTCCAATTAAACCTCACATCTTGCATAAAATACATCTTAGATATGTTATAATCATGTAACAGCAATATTTCTATGAAGAATATGGGACGTAGTGTCATGGTCACCTTTTACAAAACTATGCAATAGCAGACAGAGGTTGTCCTAAAAGAGAGCTACACATGAAGCAGCTTTGGATTGCACTTCCAAACTAAACCTCTGATATGATCTTTGGAAACTCTAATGAGAATATCAGCACTTAATAATTACGTCTGGAATCAGGTCTAATTTAGCGATATTTAATTATTTTCTCTGGACATCTGAATCCACTCTCTCTGCTGGATTTACAAGGAACGTTTGGTTCTCTTGGGCATCGCAAGTATTCGAAAGCATATGCTAACCCTCTTGGTGACTTGGATGTCTCTCTTCTGGTACCTGCGATATCACAGAATGCTGAACCCACATGGCCCCCACAGTGCACCAACATTTTTATGGCCCCTGACTATAAGACAGGTCCAACAAGGGGAAAATAACAGAACACCACTGGCTCTCACCACTGGTTTTCACCTACAGCCCCCAGCTAAAACCTCTCCAGCACATCATGAATCTACAACCAATTGTGGAAAATGACCCCTCACTCTCACAGACCTTGGGAGACAAGCCCGTCCTCGCCTACAGACCGTCCACTCAACCTGAAACAAATACGCACCAGCAGCCCCACACCACACCACAGAAACTCTACCCAGGCACTAAAACCTGCAAAAAACCCTGTTGCCAACTCTGTCTGCGTATCTACTCAAGCGATACCATTATAGGACTTAACCACATCAGATACACCATCAAGTGCTGTCCCCTGATACTTCTGTATTTACACCATTTGATGTATATTTGTGCCTAGTAAGTTGTTTTGTAGTGATATTAAGGCTGTTGGCAAAAAAGCAGGAAAAGAGCTTGATCAGGTGATTACTAATCTGCCTGGATACCAGAGGGTATAAAAGCCCTCAGCGCGAACACTGAGCCGCTGTACTCTGTGGGGACAGACCACGTCCATATTCATGGCCTTGGACCAAGACCCTCTGAGAGAGCCTGAAAATATCTCAACTGCCGTGACAAACTGACTTACCTGATCCATTAGCAGCAGTGTCTGAGTTCCTCCTGTACCATTTCACCAGGTGCGGCTGTAGATCCAGATCCAGTTCTAGACTATCAGATCTTGGTGACCTGAGGAAAACTTACCTGTTACGTGTAGGGTATTTTAACCATCATCTGTGAGGGAAAAGGGGTACTGGGCTTTGTATCTAACAAACACAAAACCACCAAGCTGTTTTCCTTGTTAATTTAAATAAACACCCGTGAGTTTATTTTACAGTCACTCTCTCTCCATTCCTGTCAGTGACCAAACAGGTGATTTGGGGAATCCTGAACCTGCAGGATTATTAACAGGGGTTCTTTTATTATTTTAATTTTGAATTTCCCCTCATGACACTGCTCATTCACCTGCACATCTACTAATGTGATATATGTCATCATGCGCCAGCAATGCTCCTCTGCCATCAACATTCGCCAGACAGTCTCTGCACAAAAGAATAAATGGACACAAATCAGACATCAAGAATGGTAACATACAAAAACCAGTTGGAGAACACTTCAGTCTCCTTGGATACTCAGTAAGAGATTTACAAGTGGCCATCCTTCCACAACGAAACTTGAAAAACAGACTTCAAAGAGAAACTGCAGAACTGCAATTCATATGCAAATTTGACACTATTAATCTGGGTTTGAATAGAGATTTGGAATGGGCTCATTACAAAAGCAATTTTCCTCTCCTTTGATTTTCACACCTCCCCCACTAACTGCCGGGAATGGGCTACATCCACCCTGACTGAATTCAGGGTTTGAACTGACTGTAACTATTACAGACTAAGATAAGATCTAATGCAGGATGATTATCCCCAGATCTGCTACTGCAGGGTTCTTACACTCTCTGGCGCTGGAAACAGGACACTGGAGTGGACACACCTCTGCTCTGCGTCAGTCTGGCAATTCCCTAAAAATAACACAAGTGATTTGCCTCAGGTCACAAAGTGAGGAACAGAAACCAAGAGCCCTGTATCCCAACCTAGCACTGTAGCCACAAGCCTATCCTGGCTCCCTCATTCAAGGCACCTAATGCCCCTAGCATGGCCTTGCCTAGCCTCACCCAGAGAATGCAGCAAAGCCACAGCTTATGAGTCCCTCTACTCCATGAGCTGGGCTGCCAGGCCCCAGACCCGAACACCTACCTTGATGGCTCTCTCAGGCTCATTCTACACTACAGAGTTTTTTCACAAAAACTTGTGGAGTGTCCATACCTCAAGCACGTTTTCGCACAGGTAAAATGAAAAAACAGAGGGGTTTTTTCCGGTGTAGGTATTCCTCCTTCTACGAGGAATAACTCCTTTTTGCGCAAGAGTTCTAAGGTGTGTGTGGATGGGGAACAGGGTTTTTTTGCGCAAAAAGAAGCAATTGAAAAAAGCACAGGTGCCCTGGTGGCCATTCTGTAAATAGCAATCAGTTTCCTTTCAAGACAGCGTCCATGCTTTTGTGTGTGGACATGCTCTTAGGCAAGAAATTTTTGCGGAAGAGTCCCAGCTGCCTGAGGGGAGTTTCTGTGGGACAGAGGCAAGGTCCAGCGGAGGAAGGATGATGTTCGGGTGCTTTGTTTATGTATAATGTAATTGTTCCACTGTCTTAAAATTAAATGTTATGATGGTGTTTATGTTAGTAATTGGAGCAACAAAGATGGAGTCTGTGACCCTTGACCTAGGAATCCATATTGGATCTCCTCAGGAACTGACTGCTCAGCGACCGGCCTAAACCGGCTTTTCCCGCCAAGCGATCATGAGGGTTCCATTCTGCTCAGACTTTTCCCGCCTTAGTGACTTTATAAGGGCTGCGTTGCCTCAGTTTCAGGGCTGTCCGCCCTAGTGGCAGCAGCGCATGGGCCCGTCTGCTCTACCACCGGACAACGAGGGACAAATCCAGCAGCGCCTGCAGCGGAGGAAGAAGAAGAGGATTTTACCATCCTCACCCATTCACTACCTGCTTGTACTGTCACCAGCCTGCGATTCCTCTTCACCCACTTGTCCAGGGCAGGACATCATGGGACTCCCCAGTGTTCCTCCCCAAGATCGCAAATCAGCCTGTGGATAGCAGGTCCTGGGCACCTCCACTAGCACCACTGCCAGTCTGCAGGAGAGAAGGGTCACTGTACTTAGGGGTGTTATTACCATTTTAATCACAGAGTTTGATTTCGTGGGTCTGGGCTTTGAGCCCCGTTTGTTGCTGTCACTATCACCAGTTTGTTTATGTCGGTCTCAGCTGCATTTCCCCATTTCTCCCTTTTGTAATCAATCGCTTATGTTGTTTGCACCTGAACATCGCCTCCGCTTCATTGCACCCACACCGGCGGGAGGAGACAGGATCTACTTCAGCACTTAATTAATTCACAGGTGAGAGACACTGTTGGGGCGCTGGTCCTGTGTTTCTGGCAAGGGCACCAAGCGGCATTTGTAACCGTGTTTGCTACTGACACCCTGGAGGTAGCAATGAGAAGGGGAGAGACACTATCCCACGGACCAGCATCCACTGCTCCAGCAGCTAGGGAGGATGCTGGCCTCGGTAACAGAGGTTATGGGGTGCTGGGGTTAAGGGCAACAGGGTCAGAGCTAGTGGTCACCGCTGGGCTCGCAGGGATCTGTAGCCATAGTCTCTTGTTGGGACTGGGCCTTATCAGGTGCTGGGAAGTTTCTATAGTGCCCCCTCTAGCTGTGGTAGGACCTGTGGGGCACTGGGAAGTGGCAGGGCTCTGTAGCACTCCCTCCTGCTGGGGCTGTCACAGTAGCTCTCTCTCCTCCCCCCCAATACCTTTCACCGTGCAGAAGCATTGGCTAACTTCTGGAAGAGCCAGGTCCTTGATGTGCCTAACCTTAGACCACTTGTCGTGGTTGGCAGGGTGGTGGCACTTGAGCTGGGGAGGGTGGGGGGAGCAGGGGCAGTCAGCTTGGATACCAACTCCCTTAGCACCAGCCTGCAGGCCAGAATGTGGCATCTGTATGGGGCAGCTGCCTTCTGCCCCATGCAAATACCTCGTGAGCTCCTATAGGACTCACATGCTGCTCAGCACCCCGAAACCCACACAGCCTGCCAAGTGGGAGTTCCTGTAACGCTCATACAGCCACAGCCCCCCTCTAACGCACCCACCCACATGCCACAGCCACCCAGGCTGGGATCCCCTGTAACACACACACCAACACCATGCAGCCCAACCCTTCAGACTGCTGCGCAGCCGAGCCCATAGATGCACCAGACTCCTGGGCATGGAAGGGCCCGGCTCCAGGCTCTCAGAAGGGAAGGGGCGAGGCCAGAGCAGACAGCTCTCAGAATCCCTGCACCGCTGCAGCGCGCAGGGCTCCGGGGGTGATTTAAAGGGACAAGGGCTCCATTGCAACAGTAGCCGAAGCCCAGAGCCCCAGGCCCCATTGAATCATCGGGTCCAGGGGCAGTGGATCTCCTCCCCCCCAGCCCCATCGGCGGGGCTGCCTGGGTCCTCTTCCTCCCACCAGTCCCCACCCCCTTCCCAGAATCCCTGCACCGCTGCAGCGCGCAGGGCTCCGGGGGTGATTTAAAGGGACAAGGGCTCCATTGCAACAGTAGCCGAAGCCCAGAGCCCCAGGCCCCATTGAATCATCGGGTCCAGGGGCAGTGGATCTCCTCCCCCCCAGCCCCATCGGCGGGGCTGCCTGGGTCCTCTTCCTCCCACCAGTCCCCACCCCCTTCC